GCTACAGCCCCTGTGTAACCAACAGCCCTCCTCCCCAATGCTACAGCGTATGGTTGAGCTGCAGGAAAGGCAGCAGGAACACAGACCGCCGCTACAGCCCCTGTGTAACCAACAGCCCTCCTCCCCAAGTCCCATTGCCTCCTCACCCAGACGCCCAAGAACACGGTGGGGGGGCCTCCGGCCACACAGTCACTCCAGCCCAGATGATTTCCCGAGCAATAAGTGTTAAAGTTTTAAAGTTTTAAACTGCAGTGTGTCCTTTTCCTTCCCTCCTCCCCCACCCATCCCGGGCTACCTTTGCAATTATCCCCCTAGTTGTGTGATGAAGTAATAAAGAATGCATGAATGTGAAGTAACAATGACTTTATTGCCTCTGCAAGTGGTGCTTGAAGGGGGGAAGGTAGTAGGGGAGGGTGGGGTTGTTGGTTTACAGGGAAGTAGAGTTAACCGGGTGGGGGGGGGGCGGAGATTTCATCAAGGAGAAACAAACAGAAGTTTCAAACCGTAGCCTGGCCAGTCACAAAACTCGTTTTCAAAGCTTCTCTGATGCGCACCGCGCCATGCTGTGCTCCTCTAACCGCCCTGGTGTCTGGCTGCGCATAATCAGCGGCCAGGCGATTTGCCTCTACCTCCCACCCAGCCATAAATGTCTCCCCCTTACTCTCACAGAGATTGTGGAGCGCACAGCAAGCAGCAATAACAATGGGGATATTCTTTTCGCTAAGGTCTGAGCGAGTCAGTAAGCTGTGCCAGCGCGCTTTTAAATGCCCAAATGCACATTCCACCACCATTCGGCACTTGCTCAGCCTGTAGTTGAACAGTTCCTGACTCCTGTCCAGGCTGCCTGTGTACGGCTTCATGAGCCATGGCATTAAGGGGTAGGCTGGGTCCCCAAGGATCACGATAGGCATTTCAACATCCCCAACGGTTATTTTCTGGTCCGGGAAGAAAGTCCCTTCCTCCAGCTTTCTAAACAGAGCAGAGTGCCTGAAGACGCGAGCATCATGTACCCTTCCCGGCCAGCCCACGTTGATGTCAGTGAAACGTCCCTTGTGATCCACCAGGGCTTGCAGCAGCATTGAAAAGTACCCCTTGCGGTTTATGTACTCGGTGGGTTGGTGCTCCGGGGCCAAGATAGGGATATGGGTTCCGTCTATCGCCCCACCACAGTTTGGGAATCCCATTGCAGCAAAGCCATCCACTATGGTCTGCACGTTTCCCAGAGTCACTACCCTTGATATCACCAGGTCTCTCATTGCCCTGGCAACTTGGATCACAGCAGCCCCCACAGTAGATTTGCCCACTCCAAATTGATTCCCGACTGACCAGTAGCTGTCTGGCGTTGCAAGCTTCCACAGGGCTATCGCCACTCGCTTCTCAACTGTGAGGGCTGCTCTCATCCTGGTATTCTGGCGCTTCAGGGCAGGGGAAAGCAAGTCACAAAGTTCCATGAAAGTGCCCTTACGCATGCGAAAGTTTCGCAGCCACTGGGAATCGTCCCACACCTGCAGCACGATGCGGTCCCACCAGTCTGTGCTTGTTTCCCGGGCCCAGAATCAGCGTTCCACGGCATCAACCTGCCCCAGGAACACCATGATTTCCACATTGCTGGGGCCTGTGCCTTGTGAGAGGTCTATGTCCATGTCCATTTCCTCCTCACTCTCGTCGCCGCGCTCTAATCGCCACCTCCTCGGCTGGTTCCGGTTTTGCTTTGGCATGTCCTGGCTCTGCATATACTCCAGGACAATGCGCATGGTGTTCATAGTGCTCATAATTGCCGCGGTGATCTGAGCGGGCTCCATGATCCCAGTGCTAGCTATGGCGTCTGGTCTGAAAAAAGGCGCGAAAGTAGTATCTGACGGACCAGGGGAAGAAGGGAGGGAGGGAGGGGCGAGTGACGACATGGCGTACAGGTACAGAGAATTAAAATCAAGAAAGGTGGCTTTGCATCAGGGAGAAACACAAACAACTGTCACACAGAATGGCCCCCCCCCTCCAAAGATTGAACTCAAAAGCCAGGGTTTAGCAGGAGGGAGGGGGGAAGCAAATGAATACAGAATAAATCTATTTTTTACATCTTAAGACGACGGTGCAGCATGACTGATAGCCCTCGGCATTTTCTGGGTGCTTGGCAGCAAATACTGGCGCTTGGCAGTTAGCCTTCAGGTCTATTGCACAATCTGATACCCACTGCAGTATGACAACGATGGATACCAGTCGTAATATACTATCTACTGCCCAAAAGGCAAGGGGTTGCTGCTGTGTAGCAATCTAGCCCCACGTCTGCCAGCCCTATGTCTGCCAGCACCCAGATCGCCCTCGGCCTCTTCTGGGTGCTTAGCAGACAATACTGGGCACTTGGCAGAAAATAGCATACTACGACTGATAACCATCATTGTCTGCCCATGATCGACAGCCACTGCAGTACGACGATGACGGATACCAGTCATAATATACCATCTTCTACCAAAAGGCAAGGGGCTGGTGCAATGCAGCCCTACGGCTGCCAGCCCCACAGCTGCCCACACCCAGATCGCCGATGAAGGCTACCAGTCATGCTGCACCGTCTACCGCCAAAAGGCAGTTAGCTGCTGCTGCTGTGTAGCAATGCAGTCCCAACTCTGCCGGCACCTAGATGACATATGGTGACGGTGAGCTGAGCTGAGCGGGCTCCATGCTTGCCGTGGTATGTTGTCTGCACAGGTAACCCAGGTAAAAAGGCGCGAATCTATTGTCTGCCGTTGCTGTGACGTAGGGGGAGGGACCTGACGACATGTACCCAGAACCCCCCGCGGCACTGTTTTGCATCATCCGGGCATTGGGATCGCAACCCATAATTCCAATGGGCGGCAGAGACTGCGGGAACTGTGGGATAGCTACCCATAGTGCAATGCGCCGGAAGTCGACGCTAGCCTCATTACTGTGGACGTGGTCCGCCGACGTTATGCACTTAGAGCATTTTATGTGGGGACACACACAATCGGCTGTATACAACCGATTTCTATAAAACCGTCTTCTATTAATTCGATCTAATGTCGTAGTGTAGACATAGTCCAGGTCTTAAGAAGCAGGAAGCATTTTGGAAGAAGAAATAGAGGAGAGAAATACAGAGTCTCTCATTATAAAGGGATAGGAGATGTTCTCTTCCCGCAAGAGAAGAGCTGCACTTCTTTCCATCTAGTGCTCAGCCTAGTTACCTCCCCTCAGTCTATTTCATGGAGATGTGGCATCGCTTCATTAGGGACAGAATCAGGTATAGCAGAGATAAGGCAATTGTCCTAAATTTCATACTAAAAGTGTGGCACACCTGGTTACTGCAGGCAGTTAGGAGAGAGGGGTTTGGTATTTCAGTCCCACTCCCACCTCTAAAAATAACCAGTATTTAGAAAAGAAAAAACAACACTGAAAATGGAAAAAGCTAGACTTAGCCAGTTGAAACTGCTGTTAAAAACAAAGCTGTTAAAAAGTCATTGTTGTTTGAACATGTCTGCTTCAGATTTGCAAGCAAAAAGAATTAACTGGAAATCTACCCCTTGTCACAAGGGAGGATATATTCATACGATGAAAATATGAAAAAAATTCCACAGCTGCAATTAACCAAGTGGAAACATTCATTGGTACCTTTTGCATGCTAAAAACAACAGACTATAACCCCATGAGTACAAGCACTATTGACTGATGATGGATGAATACATTTATGAATCCTAGACAATTTTCTTTTCCTTACAAGTGAGTTTCTCCCCTGGTGGGACATGAAGGAGTGTGACTCAATGATGTGGATAATACTGTCATGGCAAGCATGGATCAGGAATGACACTGATGCTTAAGAACATTTAAAACAATTTTTTCCCCAGGACTTAAAAAAGACAAGTCAATTGTAAAAGAATGCAAGACAAAAGACTAAAATCACTTCTTCCGGGAATCCTTCCTCCAATTATCTTTTCACTACCTTCTGCACCTGATCCTCCCATCATGTCTATTTTAGGGCCCAAATCTGTCCCACTGAAGTCCATTGGAATGTTCCCATTCACCTAAATGGGAATCTGGTCATTAAGTTGGAACTTGTTTGGGATGGGAGTGATCTTGCCTTAGTCTATATTTGTGAATCATTGTGTACATTTCTGGCACTCTGTGAATGAAAGATAAATAGTAATAATATGTAAATGGCATTTGAAAGGAAGGGTAGGGTTGTACTAAGGTTAAAGCATTTGTGAATGAATGTTCTGGCACTTACAAGTTCCTTCTTTTTCATACACTCCATGAGAATGACAAACAGCTGATGGGCTTGGTTCCGGTTGTAGTTGAAGGTTTTTTGAATGGTAACTAGAAGCTGGTCCCTGAGGGATTCACTTATTATCCTAATAGGAAAAAAAAAGAGAAAATACCTAAAAATAATATAAATTACACTTCATCATTAAAACAAAAAACAACAAGAATTTTTACATCAGTCCAGTTTCTTTGTTTTGAGAACATATAATTTATCCAGGATCTTCCTATTTTATGATATAAGATTATGGGACTAATGAAAAGAGTTAGCAGTACTCTCATGAGATCCATATCAAAATTGGTTCCCATATGGATGTCTGAAAATCTTAACACTGGAGCCAAAAACTGAATGGCAAGGAGCCTGAACCATCTTTTCATCCACAGAGGTGATAGCCACTGCTGCTACATGTTCTGTACCTCCATGTGAGGATCAACCAAGGAATTCAGTCTCCAGAGATCTCAAGAGGACATTTTACAAGACCACTAATTTCACCTTAAAATGCTGCAAATGCTTTTCTGTAAAGCTGAAGGAATGGGATTTTGGGGAAAGTGGGATGGGCGTATTGTGTTATGCTACTGGGTGGTACTGTATTTGTAAGTGGACTATGAACTGAGTTCTTGTCAAGGGGAGCCTGGAAGCTCATACAGACTATTTAAAAATATGAAGTCTAAAGAAAAATCTATAAAAAAAAGTTGAAAATGTTTCGGCAATGTTTAAATGATTTGATTTGGTCTGTGAAAGTAACGTGAGATGTGAACCCTCCAACCTTCACTGGTTTCTTCATAAAACATTTATTTCAAGAAGATGGCAAATATTACCAATAGGCATTCAGAGCAACAAAACTGCCGAAGCTACAAAATGTAGATGAATTAAGAGCTCATCAGAAAATTACTCTCTCTAATCTGAAAGCAGGGACTCCAAAGATTCCTCATCATCAAGCAACTTCTATAGACTGAACGCAATTATCTCATCATCATCATCTGATAGGGAAATTGGACATAGCGTCATGCATACTGCAATAGACAGCCATGCAGCAGTCAGCTATCAAACAGACTGATTTCTGATAAGTTATTTCAATTAAATTTGAATACACTAGAGAAGACTAGAAAGATGGTGAAGGAGGGAAAACTGAGAAATGTGTTGGTGAATTAAAACAGGACATTTTCGTGAACGTTTTATCCCTTTTGTTTTTAAAATTCAATTTTGTAACTTGAATGAAAACTTGTGTCAAAATTTCAAAATTTTCATCCACCTCTACTGGCAACATAGAGGCAAACTAGGTAGTATCATACCACCAATGCCCTGAGCTGTCCACAGCCTTTGTAATGATCCCAAAAGTCTTACCCCCCTTCTTCAGAATATTTGTGTGCAAAAGACAGAATGTCAGATGCTCGTCCACTGCCATCACAGATAACAACAGGGAGAGGGGGCTCTTCTCGCAGACATTCCAGGACGATAGAGATCACATTGGGACCCCCTTCAACTATGAGCCCAACCACTGGCACACCTTGTCCCAGTCCTGTAAAAGAAACAGGTGTGTCATTAAACACCAGTAACAGTGCTGGGTTTGTTTCAAAGAGGTGGAATGCTGTGAACATGTGTGAATTCTGTATTATGGCTTCCCAGTGAACCAGAGCAGCGAGGAAGCTTCAGGAAAAGAAATGGAGGGTGCACATGATTGGGTGATGGCGTGAAAGATATCGCCTATGTTTCTCCACAGCCCCAAAAGAAAGAAAGCAAAATGTCTCCCAGCCGACTTTCTTCGGTACTGCTACTTACTGTCTATTTATTCACACATGCGCTAAGTGATCCGTTTTGCAATCTCAATTGCATGGGAATCTTGTTAGAATCCATCTGCAGCTAGATCAAGTAGACTAACTCTAATACCTTATTACCCCAATTAATATTCTGATGGCTCCAGGCTATTGTCTCCTTGTTACTTTTGACTAGTTTGGTACTTATACACCATGTTATCCTCAATATGACATCCACCTATGCTTTCTCTTCAGATAGAAGCATTAATTTGCTCTCTTTATCATTAGGTTGAAATGGCTGTCCGATGTAAGAGACGACAGCTGAGCATCCCTTTGCTGTCCCTGCCTCACTATGAACTCCAGGCATAGGATGACAAAGGGAAGCCCACAGGTCACATGGTCACTGGAGTCTTGGTCACATGATCACTTACAACTCAGGAAAATGCAAGGCAAAAAGCATTAGGTGCAAGCTGTCTGATTTCACTACCCATGAGCATTTGGATCAAGTTCTTAATTCTGTAAAATGATCAACTTTTCATAAAGAGGTTGTCTGTTTTTTTAAAAAGTTCACTGAGAGACTGTGGAAGGTGCCACAACAGCAACCCTGCATATTTAATTCGTCTCTCTGCAGAACAGGCACAGCATGGACAGCGGGTGGTCAAGTCTCCCCACACTGTCCCACCAACGCATCCTATATCTGATCTGGAGGGATCCCAGAGATTGGTTCAGCCTTTATGCCCATTAAATCATAGAGCCATAGAATCATAGAATATCAGGGTTGGAAGAAACCTCAAGAGGTCATCTAGTCCAACCCCTTGCTCAAAGCAGAACCAATCCCCAACTAAATCACCCCAGCCAGGGCTTTGTCAAGCCTGACCTTAAAAACCTCTAAGGAAGGAGATTCCACCACCTCCCTAGGTAACCCATTCCAGTACTTTACCACCCTCCTAGTGAAAAAGTTTTTCCTAATATCCAACCTAAACCTCCCACTGCAACTTGAGACCATTACTCCTTGTTCTGTCATCTGGTACCACTGAGAACAGTCTAGATCCATCCTCTTTGGAACCCCCTTTCAGGTAGTTGAAAGCAGCAATCAAATCCCCCCTCATTCTTCTCTTCTGCATACTAAACAATCCCAGTTCCCTCAGCCTCTCCTCAGGGCTGGCACAACCCATTAGGCGACCTAGGCGGTCGCCTAGGGTGCTAACATTTGGGGGGCGGCGACCGCGGCGGCCGGATCTTCGGCCGCCCCGGTCGTCGTCAGCATTTCGGGGGCGGGACCTTCCACCGCCTCTGTCGGGGGTGGCATTTCAGGGGCAGGACCTTCTGCCACCTAGGGCAGCAAAAAAGCTGGCAGCGCTCCTGCCTCTCCTCATAAGTTATGTGCTCCAGCCCCCTAATCATTTTTGTTGCCCTCCACTGGACTCTTTCCAATTTTTCCACATCCTTCTTGTAGCGTGGGGCCCAAAACTGGACACAGTACTCTAGATGAGGCCTCACCAATGTCGAATAGAGGGGAATGATCGTGTCCCTCGATCTGCTGGCAATGCCCCTACTTATACAGCCCAAAATGCCGTTAGCCTTCTTGGCAACAAGGGCACACTGTTGACTCATATCCAGCTTCTCATCCACTGTAACCCCTAGGTCCTTTTCTGTAGAACTGCTGCCTAGCCATTCGGTCCCTAGTCTGTAGCAGTGCATGGGATTCTTCCATCCTAAGTGCAGAACTCTGCACTTGTCCTTGTTGAAACTCATCAGATTTCTTTTGGCCCAATCCTCTAATTTGTCTAGGTCGTTCTGTATCCTATCTCTACCATCCAGTGTATCTACCACTCCTCCCAGTTTAGTGTCATCTGCAAACTTGCTGAGGGTGCAGTCCACGCCATCCTCCAGATCATTAATGAAGATAGTGAACAAAACTGGCCCCAAGACTGACCCTTGGGGCACTCTGATACCGGCTGCCCACTAGACATGGAGCCATTGATCACTACCCATTGAGCCTTTCACATCTCTGCTTAGACATCCAACAAGGGTGCCAAATAGTGCCACTTGGGGTGACTTATTTTCTAAATTATGTGGCCACTAGTAACTGGACTGAGGCTTCCCACAGAGCATGTTGTTAACTCTTGTATTTTGTCAGATTCCCAACTTTAGTTTTATAGATGGTGAAATGACCAAACACCAATTAAACAAGAAAGGAAGAAAACCAAACTCCAGAAGTGTATAAAACAAAGGTGCTTTAGTCTTTACCTGACACTCTATTATGTTCTTCTGCTTTTTTAAGACCATTTAAAAACCCCAATTAGTAGCTGCTATCAGTCCCTATGCCACTGCTATTTTGAATTGATTTCCTCTTATTTAAGAAATAATAGCCACTGAAAGCTCCCTAGGATTATCAGCATTACTTGAGGCACTAAAAATGTTAATATTTATTTCAACTATAGGAAAGATTTTATTTTTAATGATTTTTTTAAAATCACCTTCTTTTTTCAATCTTGAAATTAAAAAGCCCCCTTTACATATACTAATTATTGTTGATTTGAAAAGTAATGGGCCAAATTCTCTTTTCAGTTACACCACTGTAAAAGCACTGGGCATCTGGTTGCAACTGAGAGAACAAATTGGCCCACTGGCTGAAGTTGAGATTCCTAACAGGTTCAAAAATAAAAATCATATTACATATGTAAAACCAGATTTTCTGACCCCAAATCTCCATGTTCTCTGAAATTCACATCAAAACCAAAAGTTTATTTTTACAAAACCCTGGTTTTACAAAGGTTTCAAATATTTCATAAGACCTTCATGAAATCAGGGGGTGTCAAAAAGAAAAAATAATTAGAACCCTGCAAATCTGTGGATATCTGCTTTATATCCATGGATCGGATGCAGATACAAATTTTGTATCCATGCAGGGTTTTAAAAAATAATATTATTTCATATTAACTTATCTCTCTCACCTCCCTCATATCCCCACCCCACCCACCAAGTAAGATCATAGACTATTTAAAAAGTACAGTCAATTATTAATGATGCTGTTTTTCCTCCCATTGATTTTTGAGTGAGGGGGAAAAATCAATGACTATTAATATTTATTAGATAACATGGAGTATTTCCAAGCCTAGTTATTCCTGCCAGAGTTTAGGAATCCATACCTGGTGAATGCCAAATTCTCAAACTCAGGAGATCTAATTAACGTTTTTAATTGTTATTTTAAAAGTGTGCCCATTTCCAGTCCTCTGATAATAAGCTCAAGAGACTCAAACTTCAATGATATGTCTGAAGAGGCAGCGGAAAATTTTTAAAGCTGAAATGTCGATGAATGCAGTTTTCATTTTGCCCTTGTCTCAGTTGCAGATTCCCAAATCGGCCTCCTGTTTTGAAACATTATTCAATAACTATGCATTATTTAGAATAAAAATAATTACTGCTGGGCAACCACAGGAAAACCAGCCCAGCCATCTTTCTCATTTATCTATCTACTTTTTTATAAATTTTTTCGAGATCAGGATGTTACAGAAGGTTCAATGGAGAAAGAAATCACTGATCAAGTCTTGAGAGAAATCACACAAAATGCATCTGATAAATGATTTAGAAATGGATAATGGGGAAGAAGTAAACAGCAGATCTGCATGAAACTTTACGTGTGAAACCCTTAAACTAGGTGAGATTTGCCTAGGTTAGAGATTCATTAAAAATCCAAATCTCTGGTTACATTCATTAGAAGATTTGCAGAATTTTGATTGTGAAATTCAAAGCGAAACTCAAGGGATACAAAACCAAATAGAGAGAAATAAAAAATGTTAGCGCACCCTCTTGGAAACAGGAACCACAGAGATTCACAGAATACTAGTTAAAAGGAATTAGATGAAGCATTATTCCCTGGAGTGTATTCAGTGAGGCCTCTGAACATTGGCTTGAAGTACACAAAATATCTTTATCTTTCTTTTCCTTCATGACTCTCTTTCACTTAAAGTCTTGTGTCATTGAATTTCCTTCTCTCTATTATTCCTCACCTTCCCTTTCTCCTTTTCTGATCCTTACTCTTCTATGTTTCCCACCCTGTTAGATTCAAGCCTTCTGTATTAGTAATCAGGCAGCACATATTTTTGTTCCAGTTACACTGATCTGATCAAGTTTCAGTCTATGGTCAACAGCCGGCACAAAAAAATCTAAATTTCAGTCCAACAAAAATATTTAAAAAAAAATCCACTTCATTCAAGATATTAATGTTCACAGTTTGTCTAAAATCTCCCACTGAACTTACGTGTGTTAATTTTCTGAAGGGAGATGTGTTTTTCCAGTTGACGTCGCAACTTAACTTCAGCTCCGTATTTACCAAGTGTGCCGTTGTCCGCTAAGATGAAGTGTGTATGAGAACTGTTGAGCACACAGAGCTTACTTAGAGGGTTTGACATTGTTTGGTAAACTCTTGACACCTGTCAAAGGGATACGTGCATAAAGATGAAAAAAAGACTTTACTTGCTACTATATACACAGGTAACAAACCCACAGCCACAATTTTCAACGTAACGACATGCAGCACCAGGAAGAGAATCTAGTAATAGAGGCCTTTATAATCTGAAATAAAGAAGAGCCTGTCTTTAGCTGTCCAGCCAGTAACTAAAGGATCTCTCACTTGCTCCTTTACAAATGCTAAAAACCTTCTCCATAGCCATTGTATTGTGGTAATTCCCTCAGCCAATTTGCCAACATTTTCTTCTGCATAACCTGGAGCCCCGAGTAATTCATATTCAACAGCTGAGTGCCAATCTATAATGAATCCCATGTGTTGCCCATGTATGGGCACCCTGGATGTCTACAAAACTTTCAGCATATGGCATTGGGGTTAGAACCCAGCAATTTCCAGTACACAAAAAACAGGCCCCTGCTACTTGCACTAAAGCAGTACCTTTTTAGCTACACACACTATACTTATTTTGTATTGATATTGCAGCAAGTGAAATGAATACATCATAAGTATATCTTTATTGAAAAAGTGTTCTCAAGAGTAATCAGCTTCCTAGAAGGACACAGGCATTGTCTACCTATGACACATCTATTATACCTGTAGCTGTGCTGAAAACAGAACAAGCTTCATAGCTTGCATGAATTGTCCTTTGTGTCATCAACAGTAGCTGTTGGAGATCACAGAGCCACGTGCAATATGCTGGAATTCAAGACTAAAATCAATCAACATCTATTAACCCTTAGGACACTGATGACAAATATACCCTCTCTCATGTCTCCATTGAGAGACTAAAGGTAAATTATCATCTTCAGCTCCTTCCTTTCCTCTTTGTACATGGAGCAGATGCCACATACCTGCCCAGCTACTGTTACCTTTTTCCTTCTTTCCTCAGCAAAACATTTTGAGCATAATCAGATGGAGAATGTTACAATAATGTACATTAATTTCAGCTCTAGAAATACTCTGGAAAGAGGGAAAAACACAAATACACAAGAACTGCAAACAGATGAAACATTTTGTTACACAGTTGATATCCCACTACACGACAGTTTTCTTACAGAAGAGACTTACATCTTTCCCAATCAGATCCTCCTTATTTTCCACAATGCCCCATGGTGCAATTCCTATGGCACAGATTCGTCCTCTGGACTTGGAAGAATGATCTTTCAAGGCATCTCCCACATGGCGAATTACTCCTACAGGTACAATTCATTTAAATTCATTCTTGACACTTCAGAGGCTTATGCTGAAGTGCTGATATGTACTTAGCTAGTATTTTCAAACTTTACAGTGTAATATACTTGAAAGGCACACACAGTTTTTGAAACTGTTTTCAGAAAACTCTAGTTTCTGATAAATCATCCTTTAAATAATATGCTTTGAAATTTAAAAAAAATCTTTAATTTTTTTATATTAAACAGTTTTCTTCTCCCTTGCTCTGTATACAAGGATCTTCACATCAAGGGGGAGAAAGCACTATAAAATACACAAAGAAAACAAACAAAAATAGTAAAAAGTAGTTCTTGCTAATTTTTTTCAGTTCTAGCAATCTTAGGTACCATTTGTAACTAAAAGAGAGAATTTTTGTTGCAGGAAAATGTGAGTTTCAAGTTGATAGGGTCCATTTAAATATAAAAAACATAAAATATGAGAAGAAAAACGTTGTTATAACACTGTCCCTCGTCCTATATTGTCTCTTCATTTTGTTGACACACTTACAATAGAATAGCCTTCCAAAGGTATTGATGAAAGAACCATTCCTTGAATAATTTATAACTGAGGTGGACAAAGCACTGGATAATATACAATAGAAAATAATCCTGCACTGAAAAGGAGACGGGTCTAAATGACCAAATAAGTCTTTACCACTTCTAATAGCTATGACTTATGATACACTACGAAAAATCAGTCAACTTTACTTTAGCTTGAGGAAATGCAATAATTCAGATATTGCTCGGAAGTCCAGGAAACTAGAAATGGAGTGAAACAGTCAAAACTGAAGCTGAGGCAGGTAACTGCCTCCTATGAGTAGCTGCACTTAGATTACACTTTGAAGTAGTAGAGCCCAAAGAGAGAAACCATCCTTATTCCAGTTGCTTTCTTAGGCACTGATCTTATATGGTAATGTGTGTGGGTGAACCCTGCATCCTCATGAAGCCCCACTGAAGTCACTTCAACCCCAGTCCTGCAAAGATTCTCATTCGGAGCTTAAACCAACACACTGTGATTAGTACCGTTGGCTTCAGTGTGACTATTCATAGTGTGTTAGCTTAAGCACATGCGTAAGTCTTGGCAAAACTGGGGTCTTATTGTGTTTGAGATACGGCAGCAAGCTAAATGATAGATATCTAATAAATCAAACATTTCTTTATTTAAAAATTGTTCTCATCAAGAGCAATCACCATCTTACATTTATGAGAGTCTTAGGAGGGCATGTAATATATACCTATGAAACATCTGTCAAAGAGGCCCCCACGCAGGCACAGAGATCTGCCTGCATGAATCATAATGCAGGATCAGGCCCTTAGTTTGCATATATTTTCTATGAAATAACCAATTATAAAGATATAGTGTAATTAACCCACCCACACCATATACTAGAAATATAGTTAAAAGAAATTACATCTGAATATGTTGAAGCTCAGTCAGTATCAATACAGCACACATCAAATAGATTAAAAACTGACGGACAGTGATGATTCTCCATTTACAATTACATTTTACGATCTGAGAGTATGTGACTGGTTCTTGGCCCTCTGCTTTCTAACATTTTTATCAGTGACCCAGAAGAAACCAAAATCTTGCAGATGACACAAAGATTGGGGAAGTGGTAAATAATGAAGAGGGGGGCAAAAAAATCAGTGGGTCCTCTGGACGAACATAAGAACGACCATACTGGGTCAGACCAGTGGTCCATCTAGCCCAGTATCCTGTCTTCTGACAGTGGCCAATGCCAGATGCTTTAGAGGGAATGAACAGAACAAGGCAATCATCAAGTGATCCATTCCCTATCGTCCACTCCCAGTTTCTGGCAAACAGAGGCTAGGGACACTCAGAGCATGGTGTCGCATCCCTGCCCATCCTGGCTAATAGCCACTGATGGACCTATACTCAATGAACTTATCTAGCTCTTTTCTGAACCCTGTTATAGTTTTGGCCTTCACAACATCCCCTGGCAAAGACTTCCACAGACTGACTGTGTGTTGTGTGAAGAAGTACCGTATATACTTGTTCATAAGCCGAATTTTTTTAGTAAAAAAGGGAAGCACCAGAGAAGGGGGTCGGCTTATGAACGGGTATAGAGAGGGAGAGGTGGGACACAGCCCCTCCCCCCAACAGAGGAAGCAAGGAGAGGCAGCACAGCCAGCAGAGCCAGAAGGGAAGAGGTGGGGCCAGTGTCTCTCCGCTTCTGGCCATGCTGGTCTCCCCCCCAGCCTCCAAAGCAGGTGCAGCTCCGGGGCTGGCAGGCTGCAGCTGTGCCACTTGGCCGCGCTGCCCGGCCCGCCGGAGCACGCTGCGGCCGTGCCTCCCGGCCCAGCCCGCTGGAACATGCTGTGGCCGCGCTGCCCAGCCTGCCGGAGCAGCTCCAGCCAGGCCAGAGACATCCTCCCCAGATAAGATGGAAAGGGATGGAATGGGGAGAGTGTGGGGGTCCCGGGCTAGGGGTGGGGGGTGGTCACAGGGGTTACTCCCGACTCCCAGCTTCTCCCCCCGAAAAAATTTCCCCACCAGTTGCTGTCCTGGCCTGTCAGGGTAAGCAGTTGGAGCGCCGGGACACTTTGTTTACTTAGGTTTACCTCCATGCCTGCGGACGCTCGATGTAAACAAACCATCTCGGCCCACCAGCGGCTTATCCTGATGGCCTGGGAGCCAAGTTTGCTGACCCCTGAATTATAGGGTCGGCTTATGAACGGGTTATAAATTTTTTCCATTTTTACTTATCCATCTTGGGGGGGTCGGCTTATAAATGAACCGGCTTATGATCGAGTATATATGGTACTTCCCTTTGTTTATTTTAAACCTGTTGCCTATTAATTTCATTGTGTGACCCCTAGTTCGTGTGTTATCTGAAGGAGTAAATAACATTTCCTTATTCATTTTCTCCACACCAGTCAAGATTTCATAGACCTCTATCATATCCTCCTTAGTCATCTCTTTTCTAAGCTGAAAACTCCCAATCTTTTAAATCTCTCCTCATACAGAAGCTATTCCATACCCTTAATCATTTTTGTTGCCCTTCTCTGTACCTTTTCCAATTCCAATATATCTTTTTTGAGAGGGGGCGACCAGATCTGTACGCAGATGTACGCAGATTCAAGATGGGGGGTGGGCATACCAGGGATTTATATACAGGCATTATGAGATTTTCGGTTATTCAATAAATTGCCCTGTTCTGTTCACTCCCTCTGAAGCATCTGGTTACTGTCAGAAGACAGAATACTGGGCTAGATGGACCATGGGCCTGACCCACTATGGCCATTCTTATGTCCTTAAGAGGACAGGTGACTGATACAGAGCAAACTGGATCACTTGGTAAACTGGATGCAAGTCATTTGTGTTTCAGTACTGCCAAATATAAGCTCATAACATCCAGGAACAAAGAGTACAGGCCATGTTTATAGGATGGGGGACTCTATCATTGGAAAAGACCTGGGGATCATGGTGGATAATCAACTGAACATGAGCTCCCAGTCCAGCGCTATAGCCGAAAAGGGTTCATGTGATCTTTGGATATATACATAGGAGAATCTTGAGTAGAAGTAGGACAGGTTAGATGATCTCTGGTTTTGGCACTGGTACGACTACTACTGGAATATTTTATCTAGTTTTAGGCCTGGTCTACACTAACCCCCCCAATTCGAACTAAGGTACGCAACTTCAGCTACGTGAATAACGTAGCTGAAGTCGACGTACCTTAGTTCGAACTTACCGCGGTCCAGACGCGGCAGGCAGGCTCCCCCGTCGACTCCGCGTACTCCTCGCGCCAAGCAGGATTACCGGAGTCGACAGCGAGCACTTCTGGGTTCGATTTATCGCATCCAGACAAGACGCGATAAATCGAACCCAGAAGTTCGATTGCCTGCCGCTGAACCAGCGCGTAAGTATAGACAAGCCCTTAGTGTTCACAATTCAAGAAGGATGTTGAAAAATTGGAGAGGGTTCAGAGAAGAGCCAGGAGAATGATTCAAGGATTGAAAAGCATGCCTTATAGTGAAAGACTCAAAGACCTCTATCTGTTTTCTATGACAAAGAGAATGTTAAAGGGTGATTTGATCACAGTCTATAAGTACCAACATGGGGACAGAAATTTGATAATAGTGGGCTCTACAACCTAGCTGATAAAGACATAACTAGATCCAATGGCTAGGAGTTGAAGCTAGACAAATTCAGACTAGAAATAAGGTGCACATTTTTAACAGAGAGGGTAATAAACCTTTGGGACAAAATTACTAAACGTTGTGGATTCACCATCGCTGGGCAATTTTAAATCAAGATTAGATGTTTTTCTAAAAGATATGCTCTAATTCAAACAGGAATTAGTTCAGGGAAGACCTATGGCTTGTGTTATGCAAGAGGTCAGACTAGATGGTTGCAGTGGTCCCTTCTGGCCTCATGATCTATGAATCACTTATGCACTTTCATGTCTTCTACCACTGAGAAAGATCATATGTAGAAACATTTACTCCATAAGTAAAATTCAGAAGATGGTAATTTCTTACCAGTACTAACTCCTCCAGTGAAAATCCAGGCTCCTGTTGTCATGGCAGCCTTGATCAGGCCTTTCCCAAATACTTGTTTCAATTTAGGTTGCAATTCAAAATTCTGGAGGCCCCCATGGACAGAGATTAAAAGCTTGGGAAGTTCCAGTTGCCAGTCTTTCACCATGAGATGAAGCAGAGAATCTGGTTTGGTGTCATACGACACACGTATATACTGCAAAATAGTTTGTAACAGTGCCTTAATATTACGGTGCTATTTTCTTTGTAATACTTTCCATTGACTGAGAATTGAGAAACCAACTAGTCTAACATGAGCAAGGAAGGATTTTAATGCTTTTTAAACACTGTATCACAAAGTTTCTATATTGCTTGTAATGAGAAGAATTAGTAAGCCTGAGTCGCATTGCTCCACTGTTGAGAAGCTGAGAATGTGCCATTCATTACATGGGGAACAAATATTTGATAGTAGTCAATCTAGCAGAGAAAGATATAATGTATGATCCAATGACTGGAAGTTGAAGCTAGACAAATTCAGAATAAGGCATAAATTTTAACAGTGAGAATAATTAACCACTGGAACAATTTACTATGGATTGTGGTGGTTTATACATCACTGGCAACTTTTAAATCAAGATTGGGTGTTTTGCTAAAAGATATGCTCTAGGAATTTGTGTGTGGGGGGGAGGTTTTGTGGCCAATGTTATATGGGAGGTCACACTAGATGATCAGGGCCAACGAGGGGGGGGGGGGGGAAGCCGGTACAAATTACTGGGGCCTGGCGGTCCGGAAGGGAGCCTGGGGCCCAATTTCCCCGGCTGTTTAGCCGGTCAGCCCTTGCTGGGGGGCCCGAAAATTTTTTTTCACCGGGGCCTGAATCCGCTCTCGGCGGCCCTGTAGATGATCACAGTGGTCCCTTCTGGCCTTGGAGTATAGGAATCTATGAAATCTATAAGTAAAAGAGGTTGCCATTTTAAAAACCCCAGCTTGGGTTGGAAAGGGGAAGTACTAAGTTTTCATTAGAATTTTGAACTAGGGGAAATTACCTCCCTGAAAAAGATCAAGATGTTTTCTTTGGTTAATCGAATCCTCTTTTGACTACCAAACTAGAGTCCTTACCTACATTGCCAGAAGTTGGCTTATGCAACATTTCATTGTTTTGTTAGTTTTTCTACCTCTTAAGCATTGGCTTTTTATATTATATTTACTTCTAAAATCATGACCTTATGGCAATTTCTTTTTAAACTACTGGCATTCTATTAAACGGGGATGGGAGAACCATATGTGTTTGTTTTCTGTAACTTTTATTGGTTTTGCAATATGTTGTTCTCCTTTGCACCTCAGTGTCTCTCATTTGGCAGTCTTACAGAGAGGCCCTGGGACAAATGTGCACAGGGAGCAATTCCAGGAGTGGCTCCGTCTAGAACAGCGATCAGGCACAGAGGAATGCTTGAGTGGAGAAGCTTGGATAGCGGCTATTACTATACCTGCTCTGCTGAAAGACACAGGACTCTAGTCTCCAACATTGTCAAGCTTGGATCAGGCCCTCAGTGAGCTGGGGATCTAGATGACAGATGTTTGTATAGCATGTGTTCCGTTCCTTACCATGGCCTTATTTGAATGTCCACCTCCCTGGAACTCAAGATTTCCATAGGCATCTGTTGGACATGTTTGGGTGTGTTTACTGACGGACCATTTTTCTGGCTGAGGTTCCAATTGCTTTGTTTCCTCTCCATTTTTGTTAGCTGCTGTACTTGGAGGAATTGGAATATGTTGACTAATAAGCTGGCCACAGCAGCACCTGAAATCAAAGTTAGATTTTGCACCGACGATGAACATATTGTCTCCAATATCTGATAGTGTCCACTTTAAAAAAGAAACCAAACTCCCCCCGAAACAAAAAGTTAGATTTTAGACACAAATGATTCTGGCTTACCTACCTATTTTGTATCTGGCATATAGGACTTTCTGTGAGTCACTGAAACACCTCCTCTGAGCCATACCTAAGCACACATACCAAACCCACTTTTCAGAGGTGCCAGCTCACAGGTGTTGCTTAGTGCTTAAGGACTAAATGTTTCATGTCACTCCTGTAAGAGGATTGGACCCTGAGGGTCTGGTTCCTGTGCTGGGGAAAATAGCAGCTCTGTAGAGCCTGTCTCCCTTTTTCTGCTGCTATACACAATGTGGGTAACCTGTGCAACAGCATAAGGGGGCACCTTGAACCCCCTTCCACTTCTGGGCGGCCACTCAAGCAGGGCACAATTTAGCCAATTGATAATACAGTAGCAGTAATACTAAGTATTACAGTACAACTACATCCAGAAAAATAAGGCCATGCTACTATCTTGCTTCATGAACCAGGATTATACCATTCTCTTGGCTTCTCAACTATCTCAGAATCCAGTGTAAAGTTGTATTCTGGTTTTATGAAATCTTCAAGGAGTTGCTACATTCTGCTTCTCTGGCCTTATCTCCATCTTCTTCCCCTAACACTCATTCCACTCCTCCAGTCTGGGCCTCCTCTCAGCTCCTTTTCTTCCGTTCTATGCAGAGTGTGCAAGTGTATGAGCTTGTCAACACAGTGGAGTAATGCACCTTAGGGTGTGTGATTTCTAAAGCGCATTATGTGTTGAACGGCGTAGACCCTGCTGGTCTCTAACAGTACTATATTAAAGCACACTATGGTACTTTTAGTGCACTCCAGCAGTTTCTACATGGACTAACTAATGAGCAACACATTAGTTTGTTTTAGAAATCCCTCCTCCCCCAGCCCAGTGTACACTGCTGCTCTGTGTAGACAAGCCCTCTGCCTCACTTTCACTTTTGCTCCCTTGCCTTCTTTCCCTCAAGCACAGTGAATAGAAATCAGCTCTCAGCTACATCATGTACATTCAGAACAATTCCATTGACTTCAGTGATAAGTATTGTTTTATCTACTAATGTAAATGCTTAAAAATTGTCACCTGTTAACATCTTTGTTGTTGGCAATTATGTAGATGCATTCTCTTTTTGAAAAGGTCTTCTCTATCCAAGCCTTTTGACCCTGAAATAGGAAAAGGGAAATAAAATATTGATATATTTGCTGAGTGGCCGATACCATAAAATGTCTACCTCTTAGTTTCCTTCCTGAAATATAGCTTTGATTGTCAAATGAGATATTTACAATGCACGTTTCAGGAGGCTAGACTCCTTAAATTCTAATAGGGTACTCTCATCTACTGGGGAAAGCATGAACTCCTCCACCGAGGCATAGTGGGAGCAGGGAAGGACGACACTAATTATGAAGACAAATTGGAATTGTGTGGGACCATTTTCCCTGCAAATGCAAACCAGAACTCATCATATCAAGCTCACAATGTTTTTCAAACAGGAATTGTAGATGAGCTAAAACAATGCCCCAGTTCTGTGCAATGCAATTAGAAAGTCTATTGCAGCAACATAGTTCAATTAGATTTCAAAACAATGAATGGAGAGTACAGCTCAGAAATAGCTGTATACCAAGGTTTCCCAAACTCTGCACTTGCGATCCCCATTCTCAAAACCTGTAACCTTGACCCTGAGCAGGCAAAAACTTTGTCACTGTTCTAACACCAAAACGAACTAAGGATGAATATTTGAAAAGGATACTTTGATTTTAAAGAGGTACAAAATGATAACCAGAGTCACAATTCAAAGATATGTATAAACCTGTCTTCTGGATGAAATTCATATTCTGTCCCTGGAGAGAAGAGTTCACTTCACTAAAGTCCCCAAAGAAGCAAAAGCATGTCACCAATGAATAATTACTTAAATAACCAGCAAGGAGAGAAAGTTGGTCATTTAGGAAAGCCTGTACTCTGGCTCTTATTTCAAACAGTCAAGCTATCAATGTAACAGGTAAGAGTTACCTCTCTTCATTTTGATAGGAGTTGCTGGTGAATGGAACCCATGCCATCATAGAGCATTGCAAAAGTCAATAATTCATTAGACAGCACTTAATGAAATTCACTACAGCTTTATGAACCACGTGGAACAGGTTATCAGGCATTTTCTTAGCATCGGGAATTTGATGGCATCTGAAACAGTGCAGCCCTCAGGGATTAGATACAATGCTGTGGATCAGTATGGCCTGGACTTATTTCCCTCCACATATTGCTTTGGCACCAGCCGTGTAAATCGCAATACACTGCTCGCAATGAAAATGGAAATATTTGTTTTCCAAACATTTTAAGTGAACATTCTCCTTGTATGTGTTTGGCACAGCTTTAGAAGACAGCAAGTCTTTTGCAATAGTACCAGCAGAAATATAGCTCAAATATGCTGGCAGGTTTGCAGCAGCAAAGACATTGGATATTCATGAAGCTGAATTGCTGAGTAATCACTTTTCCTGAGTTTTGAAATCAGTTCACTCTCTGATTTCTTGAGCCATGTGGTTAATATGGCATAAAACAGTGCTATCTGAGAAAATATAGCTGCTTCAGCCTCTGTGACTTCTGAACCCATGTATATTGTGAAGGAAAGCCTAAGATTTTCTGTAATGTTAAATGACTTTTGCAGTTGCATGATTGTACAAATATCAAATAAGATGTTTGAAGGGCACTCCTACTGACAATGCCAGTCTGAGTAATCAAGTCTTGTTGCATTTTCCAGCTTCAGGCTTTCTTTCCCCAAAAATCCACAATCCAATTCAATGTTCCCTTTTTAAATATTGCAATAACTTTGAAGACATCATGCTCTTGGCAGCAGCCAGCATTTTAGAGCACATTACAACCGGTGGTTTTGAATCAACTGATGTAAAACCCATGTGTCATTCTATGCTGCATTTACTTTTACTTTTCTGAGCTGTCACTGTAATCTGTTGCTGCTACCTTCATTTTGAAACAATCAATCTTTCTGAATCAACCCTTGGCCAGAAGTGAGCTCCACAAACTGAATGATAGATGCAATGTGGTTATGTGAGGTTCAGCAGTGCTGTCATCCAGTTTTCCAGTTCGGTAGCACATTTTGCCATTGTCCACGTGCATGGGTAGTTGTGCTTTGTGGTACACATTAAATAACATTTTTAATTGGACTTGTACCATTTTGTGTTAGGTAAATCCAGGCACACCCACATAACCATCCTCCCATAAGAGATTAATCATGTTTCACTAGCCGAGTCTCTAGCAGAGACTCACACGTGCTGTGCTAGTCTACACCAAACCCCTAGTTGGGGTACTCATATCAATGTAGAGGTTTTAAAGGGGTACAGCATTCCAGGCTTGTGTTTATCCATTTTTTTGCCATTTTAAATATACTGAATTTTGTGTGTGTGACCTTTCCTAACTCAACTCCCCTCCCCGGGTGCTCAGCTACTGTAGAAATGAGGGCCATGTAAGTGCCTGGATAGATAGATACATCCTCTCCATGAACCCCTCGAGAGATCTGTAACCCCCAGTTTTGGAAACCCTACTGTAAGCATTTCAGGGGAGATAAGTTCGGGTTGTGTTGATAAGCGATGCTGTGCATGTGACTCCTCCACACAGAATACTGAAAAGACAACCTGACAATCATCAAAACAACTGGATTGTACACCGTCAATGCAGGTTGTTATTTCACCCTATTCTTTTTACTTTGCAAAGAGAGACAACTTTTCATTGCTACTTGATCTTCTTCATGGAGAAGTATTAAAGTTAGCTACAATTTGGAGCAAGAACCTGAAGTCTAAGGCTCTCTGTTCCTCATTTATGTTTGGAAGGAAAGCTTTTGCAGTTAAGTTTCTAAAGTGAGCTTTAGAGTATATCTGAATTCCCAGCTGTGCATTCATTGTATTATAGTTATTTTAAATAAAGTCTGTTATCTGCCACTGCACTTAAAAAAGCATTGCACACCCACACCTCGAATGCACCACATACAAATAATACATGATGCACTGCTGGCTTATTTTTCAGTGCTAATGAGAGGAAGGGAAAAGCAGGCATTACAGATCAGTGGAATAAAAACTCACAAAGCACGTTCGCTCAGCCTTTGAAGTTTCACTGCCCTTGTCTGTTTAATCTTCTTACTCAGAGCTTGATTATAATCCAGTGCAAATACTTAAGCAGACACATCCACTGTCAGAAAATAGGCACCTTACCCACTTATTTGATATGGATTCTGCACAATTCTGAAAAGCTGCTACGATCACTCTGGATGGGAATTTATTCAGTTTCTTGAAAAAAATATAAGCATGCATACTGTCCCTAGTGAGTTTGGAAGAACTAAATACTTTTTAACAGCCTCTGAACAGAAGAATTTTGAAAGGATTATGACAGATTAACTACAGTTTTCAGGCCAAGAGCCAGTGGGTGTATTTATGCTGAGAGACAAATAGGTATTGCCAGCAAGATCATGCCACTAAAACTCTTTGCAGGTTTTCTATTGATCTGTAAGAAACACAAAAGTGCGACACCTAAACTCGTTGAGTGTACTGAAGTTCAAAACTGCTTATTATTACAAACACAAAATGCTCTAATCAAAACCGAATCTTGGAAGGACGCATTTCAAATGCTCAGTGGCATATTTATTCTCTTTTGTGAAAACTGACAAAGGTCTCTTCAATTAAGGTAAAACAAAACAAAACAAAACAAAACAAAACCTTTGCTAATTCTTGGCTTCCAGCCTTGAATCTACTGCTATGTCTGGAAAGAACATTAATTAATATTGGGCTTTATTCTCCCACCACAGGGTTTTGAGTAGTTCCCATTGCCATCAACGAGAGGGCCTTGTATCCTGCAGTGAGAATGGAGACCACTGTTACTTAGTATGTAGACCAGGCAGTTAATAAGACGTAGGCCTTCAAAATATGCTCAATAGTTATAATAATAATATATGGTGATATACCTATCTCATAGAGCTGGAAGGGACCCTGAAAGGTCATTGAGTCCAGTCCCCTGCCTTCACTAGAGGACCAAGTACTGATTTTGCTGCAGATCCCTAAGTGGCCCCCTCAAGGACTGAACTCACAACCCTGGGTTTAGCATAGTTAAAATTAAATTTGAGCAATAATTAATGTTAGAGAAGCCAACTGTCCTTTTTGCTGTGCACTGAGAGCTCTCATACGCAGAGAAAGACAGGTACAGGACCAGAGATGTGCAGCACTATTGAATTAGTAAACAAATATTTTTCATATTTGATACATTGTCTGAGGAGGAAATCCCATTTCACTCCAGCTGGCTGGTAAAATGAAATAAAAGTTATTTGGACTGTTTTGGAAAGTCTGATTAAACAATTACAGGGCTTGATCCTCAGTCCTTACTTGGGCAAAGCTCTCATTGAAGTTTTGTGTTAAGACAGCAAGCAGCACTGGCACCAGAGCTCAGTATGCATTAGCTGAACCTGGAGAGAAAGAGACGTAAGAATCAAGCTACCCATCTGGAAATTTCATACTGCACTTTTTTCCCCCCACTCTCTATTTCGTCATCAGGTGCTGTGAATTTTCAGTTACTGTATATCTGCATGGAGCAATGGTGACATTTAGTGACCAGCAGTATTAATCATAGTTGAATAGTCATTATAGATAGTGTCAAGTATCAGAGGGGTAGCCTCTTGCATCTGAAGAAGTGAGGTTCTTACCCACGAAAGCTTATGCTCCCAATACGTCTTAAAGGTGCCACAGGACCCTCTGTTGCTTTTTATAGATAGTGTGAGTTTCCTTGGGCCATGCCTCTCTTGGTTTCAGTGCAGATCCTCAACTGATGTAAACTGTTACAGCTCCATAAAGGAGCTATAACAAGTGAGGATGGAATCTTCAGAGATTTTAGCTGCTACAATCTAAGTCTCGACTAAGTATGTGGAAATTGTGGTGTGGCAGATTTTCATGGGGACAGCAAAAGGCACATCCCTGACACACAGACCACCCTCTATCAACTTTAAATCCTCATTCCAAAGCATGGGGGCACTAGGGCTTTTCAAAGACAAGATTGCTAGAATTTTTTTAAAATGGGGTAAAACAATATTTTCCCTTAGCCTTGTTCTCAGAAAGAATGAACTGTTTTGGCTGAAATAAAAATAAATTAATAATAAAAAATATCAGCCCGAGGCAGACAC